GATCTTTGCAGACTCTGGTTCTAACCCCGGAGAAGATCCCGAGTTTCTTTCTCCTACCCTGCACGCCGCGGCCTTATCCGGTGTCCCCGGAGCGGACCAGACTACTTTCTCATCATGGTGGTGATAGTGAGCGCCCCCCTGAGAACCCACCTAGCCCTGCATCCTCTCCCAGATTCTACACACCCCTACCAGTCATTCACCCTCACAATGCCGCTGCAGTATCTGCGGACGTAGACATGGACCTGACCACACGTGCAGCTATGTCGCTGTGTCACGTGCCGAAGGTGACCACGCCCTACGGTTTCCGCAATGTGTTGGCTGTGAGCCCCTGCACACGGCGACGGGAGTCCCTGTTTCATCGGAACAGAGGAGACCCCCACACTGTATCTGACCCAGCAGACCTTGGTCCTGGTCCCAGTCCTAGCAGGCGTGCTAGGACTGCATCCCTGCATCCAATGAGGACTCTGGGTCTGCAGGTCATTAAGGCACTCCAGAGACCTGCAGCTACTCTAAAAGCTCTAAGTCCTGCAATCCAAAGGACTACCCCCAAGTGATGTCACATACAACCACACTCATCTGATAGGTGGAGCAGATCTGAAACTGCTGCTGGTTTTAAGCTGTTTTAATAAAATGTTTGAATTACACTTTAGTTTTCTGTGTGTCTGAACAAGATTACTAAAGACTGTTCTATGCTTTTATTGTGACAATTCTCAGCAGGGAGAAATATTTCCTCTTCCTGTGGAGGAATTTAATAGTCTTGGAGTACACAAGCCTTATTTGGCAAATGTGTACATGAAATGATCCAAGCAGCAAAGGATAATGATAAATTACAAAAACCCACCAAAAAGTGTCTAAATTGAATCTGAATGACATTACTGGGGCTCATTCCAAATGGACTGCTGGTACTTGTGAAAAAAAATAAACATTTCCTTTTCCTCTAATTCAACAACCAGAATTGAACAATAATCAAAAATGTTTCTACAAACACTCCTGATTTGTTCAGTATGAAAACCCAAACATCCATATCATCATATTCTAACAAATTCCTTTAAATCTGGTTAGAACCAGAGTCTGCAAAGCTCTAGGCTTAAAGGCCGACATGGTGCTTTCCTTCCAAAATGTTGTTATAGGTGGTCTCTTTGATATTTCTGCAAACATGGAACAAACACCTAAACAATGTGGAGAAGGTGTCCTCTAAGTTCCTCGGCACCCACATATCCGAGGACCTATCCTGGTCCACAAACACATCAGCCCTAGTAAAGAAAGCCCAGCAGCGCCTCCATTTCTTGAGGGTTCTGAGATTGAACAGGCTGCAGACTGAACTCCTAGTGTCCTTCTACCGTGCCACTACCGAGAGTGTGCTGGTGCACGCCATCCCTGTGTGGTACGCTGGTTGCACAACAGCTGACAAGAAGAGACTACAGAGGGTCATCAGAACTGCAGAGAAGGTGATCAGCTGTCCGCTCCCCTCCCTGGACTTAATTGCCAGCTCAAGATGTCTCTCCAGAGCCAGGGCAATTATAAAGGACCACCTCCATCCTAACCACCACCTCTTCAACATCCTGCCCTCTGGAAAAAGGCTCAGAACCATCAGGTGCAAAACCAACAGACTAAAGAACAGCTTCTTCCTGTGGGCTGTCAGAACTGTTAATGCAAACTAAGAGTGTGTAAAGACTTCCCCAACACATCCACCCTGACACTGCTGCTGATCATCTATGTGCAATATCTCAGTCTTTCTATGTTCTGTGCAATATTTTTGGCTCATGTGCAATTATTTTGGTCCCAGTCTGTTTCAATGTTTCCTACACATACACCATGTATATAGTTCCACTCACATATGTATACATATCCACTGTTTTTTATTTTATTCTATTTATTTAATTATTTATTTATTTTCCGCCTTCGTTGTATATTGGTTTCTCTTCTTCTTACTTTAGCAACTTTGTGGTTCAGCTACCCAATTTCGCTGTGCAAGAAACTGCACAATGACAATAAATGACAATAAGGCTCTCTAAGCCTCTAACAAGCCCTGAAGTATGTAAAGAAGCCCTTCGTTAAAAGTGCAGACTTAACTGTTCAGCTTCAACGTCAAAAAATCAGCACACAGATAAATATTGTTGGCTTAAATTTAAACTTCTTTCATTTGGAGGTAATAAAGGAAGGGACAGATCTGGTTTGAACTTTGATAGTTTCCACACCTTCTCTTTTCTCAAAGTACAATTTTTCTTTTAACAGGAAGAGTAATAAAATCCCAGACTACCAGTTACAAAACATTTACTGTCAAAGGTAATCGTAAATTCTGTGACTAGAAAAAACAGTGTTGGAGGAATACTATATCATTATTTTCACCAGATAGATTAAAAATGGCTGTGATGGCTTTAACTCCAGTAAGGGGTAGGGATTTTTTGATGTTTTCCATTTTGTTAAGCTGAACTCTATTTTATTCATGCTGCTTTTGATCATTGTGCATTAGTTTCTCCTGTAGATGTCAGAAAGTCAGCAAGGGTTTGTTTTCAGTAGTCAAAAAACTGCTGCTGTTCTGGAGCTTTTGGTCACATCACATGACCTTGATGATAGACGTATTAAAGTGGACCAGTTCTGGTTCTCCTTATTTGCCATTACCCACCTCTGGGTGAAGGCAAATAAGGGATGTTGATATCAAACATGAGCACAGTCCCAATAACGAGGTCAGTGTGTGAGCCAAATTTTCAGTCTGCCCTGAACAGTTTAGTTTACCACAGTTTCTCCTACTCTTGGATCAGAGGATGTCAAATGGATAAAAAACACAAGCCTTTGAGAGGGGCAGCAAAGAAGAAAATTCTTGTTTCAGATGAGAGCCTCCTTTTAAAGCTCCTCTAGAGAGTCCAAAAATGAAAAGACAAAGCTGAAAGTGATCAGGATGATACTTTTGACAAAAAAAAAGGAGAAAAAAAAGCTGTGTGCAGGAATGCGAGAGTGAACTAGAGCAAGGTCAAGAAACAAGCTCTCACAGATAGATGCTGGCTTAGGGTCATGAAACTGTGTAACAGGTTAGGGAAGGCAGGACTGTGTGTGTGTGTGTGTGTGTGTGTGTGTGTGTGTGTGTGTGTGTGTGTGTG